ACAAAAAAGTCACAAAATTTGGAAAACCAAAATGTTCATGAGCTGAGTAATCACACTTCCAAAACCTAAAAGCCGTCAAATTGACTGCTCTTAGAGTTCTATTGTTAAATCTAAGTGGTCTTTTCCTGGGTTTGTATGTTATAAATCTGTTTTTGCACCTGTCCACTTGTCTGTCTGTTCACGTCTATCCTGTCGACCTAATGTAACAGAAAATTAACAATTAAAAGCCTGAGTCGCGCGCGCTTCCTCCTCGCGCCGCCTTCACAAGCCGTTGGACACTCTAATTGCTTTGAAATACAACCGGGCCCGCCACGCTGTTTTGCTGTTTTGGAGCCACGTTTCGCATGGACGCACACGGGAAATTGAGTTATAAATTACCGCTGCGAAATAGACACGTTATATACCGCGGCAGAATGTTGGATATCCAAATGTTAGCCGTTTCATTACCAAAAATAGGAAGGCGGAAGCACAGGCGTAAATAAACAGGCGAGATGGAAGGTCTGTGTGAGGAGTGGATGATAAGGTCACAGCAAAGACAAGAGGAGGACAAGGAGTCAGTGGAGCAGAGGATTAGAGCACTGAGTACAAACAGGACCACAGACAGACTGGATCAGACTGGGATCAAACTGAAGCAGTCTGGATGGAAGCCCCAATGCAAAGTTAGGAATGGCACAGTGGCGCAGTGGTTAGCGCTTATGCTTGGTTCGATTCCACCTGCTCCCATCTCTGTGTTGAGTGAGAGACAAAATGCCTAAAAAACCCAACAATTGTAAAGCGATTTGTGACTTGATAAATAGTTACTCACTATCGATATGAATAAAGAATGCTTACTTTAAATGAGTAGTAAGTCCTAAGTAAACTTTCTTTATATAGATAGTCACAAAGGGCCTTACAATTGTTGGGCCATTGTCTCTCACTCCACACAGAGATGGGAGCGGGGTCGCCATACAGATGTGTTAGTGGTAGGGGAAACCGGAGCATCCAGAGGGAACCTATGCAAACACGGGGAGAACATGCGAGGCCTTGCATAACTCTCAGTTTTTGGACATGTTAAAGTTGTTCTCCCATTGTCCATTACACAAATCTGTTTTTAGAGCGATTCATGCATGTTATAGTTATTAACTTATATGTGCGCCACCATTGTTCTCCCTTTAGTCCTCTGACTGCTCCATCTAACCCCTCTCTGGTTTTTACTTATTTTCTTTGGCAATTTCCTTTTCTGATCTGATATACAGTATATATAGTGTATTCACCAGCTCCACGCGATCATATCTATTCATATTTAATGCAAAATATAAAAATGATAATATAAATGGAGAGTCTGCAGAGGAGCGGAGTCTGTGATGTAAGAAAGTTTTTCTGCTGCTACGACAAAGGGTCGGGGCTATGTGGCAAAAAGTGAGGTGCTACACACAATACAATAAAATCAATAAATTGTCTTCATAGTTGTAACCAAATAAAATGTGAAAAAGTTCATGGCATACTTTTTCAAGGCCCAGTCCTGTTCACTGATGAATGGTCAAATGTTTATCTACAGTAAGTCTAAGAAGATTCCTCATAAGTCTAATCTACTCTCAGTATCATTACATGTATTGGTGTCTAAACAGCATCAAGTCCAAGGAGCACACCAGAGAGGTCAGGGATGAAGTTGTGGAGACGTTTGAAGCAAAGTTGAACATCTAATAGAACACTAATTAAACCATTCACTGGGATGTCTCCCTAAAGTCACGGCTGACAAAACGGATCACAGATTCAGACAAGAGGCCAATGGTTACACTGCAGGAGCTGCAGACATCCACAAGCACCTGGCGGAACCTGTACATGGAATAAATATTTACAGATACTTTATTGATCTCACAATGGAGAAAATCAGTACACTGCAAGAAAGTGAAAAATTGCTCAAAGGTGGTGAGCAGGGGCTTTAGCCGGGGAAGACACAAAAATTGTCTCCCTTGAACTGAGAAAATTGAGCCCCAGTTCTTGGAATAAGACTAAATGGTTTCGTCCCATTGGCAAATCTTGTTTGAAGACCATCAGAATGTACTCAAATGTGGTCAAAATCCACTCAATTCAAGCAATTTTGTACTCGTACTTTCTAATATTTTTGCAGTGCGGTCATACACAACACACAAAGTGTCAAACCTGGTGGTGGCAGCATCATGCTGTGCAGCTGTAGGGACAGGGGTGAGTTTCAGAGTTGACAGGAGGTGGATGGACTAAAATACAGGAAAATCTCAGAAGAAAGGCTGCTGGAGTCTGCAAAGGGCTTGAGGCTGGAGTAGAAGTTTACTTTTAATTTGGACAATTTTACCGAATCATTTTTCTGGTCAAAGTCCATAACTATCCTTTCCAGAAACAGGGACAAGATCGAAACACTGCTGTTCAAACTCTCCATGATGTGATGGAGCTTGGCCAAATTTGCAGACAAACCCCAAATACTTTAAAGTTATAGTCTGGAACTCTAAATGAATTACAAATGTTGAGAATTGTATTAAATTGACCTCCTGGGCTTAAATGTTGAAATAAATTATGTAATTTTATGAATTATAATATTACGGGTATGTCCCGCCTTCCCTTATCTTAGCTGTGGCTCAAAATCCACGATGCCGTCCATTTTAACCAATCAAGTGATGCCAAGGGCTGTCGATCATCACGAGCGCTGTGACAGGCGCTGAAAGCCCGTTGTGTTGAAGTGTGCGAACTACAGTCCGGAGTAATCATAGTATTTTTCACACCTGGATTACAAGCACAGAGTGCGTTGCTAAGGGCAGCGTTCATTATTGGTTTGAGAGGTTCATTATCAAGAAATAATGGTCAGTAGAACGGTTTGAAATTACATTCAAATCAATGGAGTGCTTTTCTGCTGCTGTGAGGAGCTGTATAATAAAGGTAAATAGATAATAAATATTATGACAAAAAAATCGAATATATTTGAATCTGTAAATTAATAATCTTTCCTCTGCACGTTTTGAGGAAAAGACGTGCAGGAGTGTGCACGGAAAAGTAGGTGCGGCTTCAAGAACAAAGTCCAGACTATCACATGGTGATTTCATTTTGCTTGCACTTCACAAGCCTCCAGTCAATGATTGTCTCAATAAGAGTTCGCCATGTTAGGTGCTCATATAATAGTGTAAGATCACTATTATTGTTCTCACCATCACTGACTCATGTTGTCTTATTCCTTTATTTGTCCTACAGTGGGGACATTTCAGTGTTGCATCCTAATAGATCCATGGTCGCATCACAGTTATAGAACAGTAGGGATGAGCAGCACACAGCACAAGATAAGTGAACAATATCTCATTACTAAAATAACATAAAATCTCTAACTTTAGCATAATAACGTACACATATAAATACACAAACACATATAAATTACATGGAGGCTCAGTAAGAGGGAAGGGTGATAGGGAATGGCTGACCTCAAATATATCACTTTGTCACAATCACAGTGTGAGGAGGGTCTTCAAACGGAGGAGACAGGAGGGAGAAGAGAGAGAAGAGAGGAGTGGTGATGAGGGGAGCAGCGCCATCCACAGGCCGCACACCGACACAACACATGCTTTTCAACACTGCAGTCAGAACCAGGGATGAGTGAAGACACAATATAGACACAAACTCTAATATATGTTATAATTGTAAAAATTACAATGTTATGTAGATAGATAGATAGACGGATGGAAAAGGTGTCCAATTGTGTTGCCAATTCAGAAATTGTATCTTTGATAAACAAGTTTCTGAAATAACATTTGTTTTATTATTAGTCAAAGTGTTTTGATCTCTGGCTTTTTACCTGTTAAACATTCAAGAAAATAAATAAAAATCAGAATACTGTGAACAACATTCAGAAAGTTACTTTTGCAGCTCCATTACACACACATTTCCATACTGCAGCACATTTAAGCCCAGGACACTAAGGTTGGCGTGTTGTTTAAACCTGTGTTGCTCTTCACCACGGGGAAGACAGTAGTGTGGCAAAATAAAACAAACTTCTCACTTTCAAAAGCAGATGTCTAAGGTCTCAGCGCTGTGCAGCAAGGAGCAGATGGAAACACTTTATAGAGGACAACAGCAGGTTATTCATCAACGTGGAGCAACAGATACTTTGTGTTTATTTAAAAGGACGTTTTCATTAGACAAAAACTGAGCTATGTAGAATATTCAATTGTTTGAGTATGTTTGTATTATCATAATGTAAATTTACGGAAATACATTATTTCAACTCTTGTACATTCTCTCCAACTTCATGTGCTTTCTGCAGTTTGGCTCCTTGTTTACATACAGCTATATTTTGTTGTGATTTATGTATTCATTCATTGTATCTTAATTCGTGAACTGTTGATACATTTCAAAGTGTGTTTTTTGTGCTTTATAATAAATAATTTTGCCTCAAAGTTAATAATTTCTGTCCGTGCATACACCAATGACAAATATGGAAAAATATTAACATTTATTTGTTGGTTTTGACCGAATGTGAATCTTATTTTGTGTAAAGTTCCATTTAGATGTGAAGCCGGCGAGACGAACACTCGTCTAATGCACCAATACTTATTTCTCATGTTTTGCATTCGTCTGGAGGATTTGAAACAGATAATTTGATTATTTATTAATTACTGTCGCACAATTTAGAAAATATAAAAAAATCTTTCAATTTAAAGCAGTTTCCCTCTTATTCACTCTTTGCTCATTTCTGTAGTGTTCAAGTGTTTTGCTTAAACTTTAGTGATTTGAGCCATGAAAGGAGCACAGGGAGCAACAGGAAAAAGTGCAAAAAAAACAATTTATTTGACATCTAAAAATCCATTCAAATCACATTCTTTTAAAAACATCCCTTGCAGAAAGTAACATAACATTAATATAAAATCAACCCATAAGAAATAGCCATTAGAAAATCGCCATCTTTTAAAACATTAAATATATTTTGATACAAAGTAAATGAAATGCCGGTCATGAACATAGTTTAAAAGTCTGGGCGTGTGCACGCAGTAAAAGGGGTGTGGTTAAGAGAGCTTCAAGGGGACGTGGCGATGGGCGGGGCCACAGGGCGTATCCAGGAAATGACCGCTGTGAGAGGCGTCCACGCTCAGACCCAGGACCGAGGAGGAGCAGCAGCTGTGGAGAGCAGACACAGGAGGTCAGAAACACATTCTGACGAGGACACGGACCGGCCTCCTGCTGGTCCCAGAGTCATGCTGGGACATTTCAGATTCCAGCAGCTAAATCCAATAAAGCTGAATTTACACCCTCAAACTCTCATGCCGTTTGCTAATAGCACCAGGAACACCGCTCTCAGAGCCACAAAAAAAAAAAAAAAACATTTGGCACGTAAGCCCGACTCTCTGACCGCTCTGAACAAGGCTGAAAAGGGTTCCTGAAAATGTGAGACAGGCTTCTACTCTGACGTTTGAATCCAGATTTGGTTTATAACAGTGTTTAAAGCTGCACTAACTGACTTTGGGATTTTGAAGCTGCAGACTCGCTGGCCTCGCTCTTTCTGCTCCCCTCCCCGCACCCACGAAGCTATCGCCCCCCACACACACCCACTGTTGGGACGGAGCTAGCGTCTCGCAATATGGATAATACATGGATATGGATTTTCACGTGGATGGCGTGACCATAGAACGATAGAACCGGGAAGCGCGTAGGAACGAGACTTTCTTTCGGATGGCTGTCTCGCTGTGTAAGCAGTAACCGTGACGAAGACACACGAAGTTTTAGGTTAGCTCCTCGGCTTGTTGTGCTAACTCAGCTGTCTGTGCTAACGGACCTGTAGATTTCTCACGAAAGTGGGGGCTAGTGGTCCGCTGTGATTGGTCACAATCTGCGACCCGAAACACATTCTCTTCCTTGTTTCATCAAAACTCGATCTAAAATATAATGTCACGCCAGCACAAACCTGCGCTACTTTTTCTTCAAAAGGACATATATCCCAATGCACTACATGAACATGGATAGCACTTTTGTAATGAATACAAAAATAAAGTCAGTTAGTGCAGCTTTAATGTGGACACTTCTGTCATCAGCCTCCTGCTCACACTGACACGGGGAGAAAATGCAGACTATTACCTCTCATAGTCAGAGTCGCAGTTGCCCTTGTCCTCCAGGGGGGGCACACACGGGCTGCCTGCCCTGTGGATGGCCTCTGCCACAGTGTAGCACGTCTTGCCTCGGGCACAACGCTCCATCCGGGACACACTCAGCTCAGACTGAAGGAAGAGGTGCAGGCGGCTGTCCGAGAGCATCAAGGGGAACTGGACCACACTGTGACAGAGAGGAGAGTCAGAACATGTCCTGTATACACACACACACACACACTGGGACAGAGAGGAGAGTCAGAACATGTCCTGTATACACACACACACACACTGGGACAGAGAGGAGAGTCAGAACATGTCCTGTACACACACACACACACTGGGACAGAGAGGAGAGTCAGAACATGTCCTGTATACACACACACACACACTGGGACAGAGAGGAGAGTCAGAACATGTCCTGTACACACACACACACACTGGGACAGAGAGGAGAGTCAGAACATGTCCTGTATACACACACACACACTGGGACAGAGAGGAGAGTCAGAACATGTCCTGTATACACACACACACACTGGGACAGAGAGGAGAGTCAGAACATGTCCTGTATACACACACACACACACACTGGGACAGAGAGGAGAGTCAGAACATGTCCTGTATACACACACACACACACTGGGACAGAGAGGAGAGTCAGAACATGTCCTGTACACACACACACACACACTGGGACAGAGAGGAGAGTCAGAACATGTCCTGTATACACACACACACACACACACACTGGGACAGAGAGGAGAGTCAGAACATGTCCTATACACAGATGACAACAGAAAAAGGAACTGGACAAACTATTGGAGGCAGATGGATAAGAGTAGCAACTATAATCCCAAACTATGAGCAGAGTTTCTGTTGCCACCGTGTTTGTCATGTGCAATAGAATGCAACGTTCAAGTGTTTTTCAGATCATTTAGTTTCACAGAGAGAATGCAGCGGCAGATCAGGAGGAAGTTCATTTCTGACTATAATCAAGAGGAGGTCTGCATTAGCCTGGCCATAGCCATCCGTACACTCCGCTCAATCATCATTTCACTGCATGTAACGTCTGGGTCTGGTCCCTGTGTTAGCGAATACAATCGGTTGTATTTCGACCGGCTACTCAGAGAGCGCGGAAGGCGGGTGTTGTAGGTCGGTGCCGGTGATGTCAAGAGTTTGCGCCGAACGGGCAGGTTGTAGTTTGGCAATGGCGAAGAATGCGATAGTAAAGTAATCTGGTCTGGTTCTATCAAGAAATTGAAGCAGGAGCAAGAGGAATGTTTTATAAATGTAATCGCTGGTCAAGATTGTGGCGCTACTCCCCACGGGCTCCGTTAGCGGCAAAGGAGATGGCTAGGCTAAATGCTAACAACAGAGTCGGGCACATTACATACGTCACGGTAAACTCAGATCCAATCGTTTCAATCTGCAAAAGGAGTTAACCTCTCCCACCTGTAAACGGAACTCAATGGAGCACCTCCAGACTTTAGTATGAAATGTAATTTGTACTATGGTGTGGTACAACCAGGCTATGTCTGCATTCAATCTGTCACAGTTGTCGTCTGTTCACCAACTGAACAGTTTCCAGATACATTCCAGCATCACCTCCAGTGTCATGAACACAGTGAGACACTTACGCCTCCAGAAAGCTCTGCAGCCCCTTCATGCGGAGCAGCAGCTGGTCTGGGCCTCGCAGGTGGAAGAAGGGCCTCCAGGGGGGCAGCTTGGGCAGCTCCCTGAGGGGACAGAGCTGTGAGCAAGTGGAGGATCCTTACAGTAGACTACACACACAGTACAATAGTAGTAAGAGACTTACATGATGAGGGCGTTCTGTTCCAGACTCCGCCGCAGCCAAACAAACTCACTGTAACGCCTGCGGACACTCGACCACTTCCTCCTAAAGCACATGCTGTTGGTCTACACACATACATACATACACACACATCAGAATACAACGTAATATTTTGGGACGAGTGATTTAAGTGAATGGCAGTAACTTATCAAAAAAATGAAGACACAAGTGAAGGCCTTTGTACACTGCATACATGTTATTTTCTTTTGTTATTTACAACACTCTGACCATCCACAATATTTCTACCACTGTCCACATGAGCTCAAAACTTGCTTCCAGTTCTCCAGTAGAAAATACGAGGGGGGGGTCTCAAAATGGTGGCGTAGAGATAAGTCACGTTCGGGAGTGCTGGTGAAAAACATAGCTGATATTATCGACTGACCCTACAAAGCGCTTCGGCTCTGTTTACCTAGGGACTCCCTTGGTGAAGATGAGCATTAATACCTATTTTCCGAGACAAGAGGTGTGGTCACGGAGGAATAGCCCAGCTTCAGACGCCTCCGAAGAGCAGCAAGCTAGCATGATGGAGGAGAATGCTAGCGCAGTTCAGGGGACAGATTCTGACATCCGTGTTGCACTACGTGAAGTGGTACATGAAGTGACATGAAATGTAACGAAAGTTATGGATGAGAAGTTGGCGCCCGTGGCCATGAAAAGCGATTGGCTGAAACGGAGCTGAGGATTGGGGCACTGAAGGATGCGGCAGACCCGGTCTGAGAGATTGGGGACTTGGAAAAGACTGAACGTGTGGACGAGTTTGAGAACAGGGCGCGTAGGATGAATATCCGAATACTGGGGGTCCCTGAGGACGTGGAAGGGACTGATCCGACGCGCTATTTCGAGCGCTGGCTCCCAGAGGTGCTACTTATGAGAACGAAGAACGGGCGTAAAAAACTGGAGAGAGCACACCGCACTCTCGGCCCCAAAACCTCGTCTTCGCAGAGGCCAAGACCAGTAGTTGCACGTTTCCATAACTACCAAGATAAACAACGCGTGATGAATGCCTCCTGGGAACTTGCGAGGAAGAATCATGCTTTGAAACATGGAGACTCCAGGGTGATTTTTCTGCAACTGTGGCCCGCAAAAGGAAAGGATACGACGCAGTGAAGAAACGGCTTTGATTTACCCGGCTAAACTGGATTACTTTCCGTGGATCAAACAAAGTGTTTAATAATCCTACTGAGGCAGAACATTACGTGGATTCGCTGGACGGGGGTGCTTCAGGCCGTGATGAGTGACATTTGGACTGTTCTTTCCGATTACTCACCTTGCACCATCACTTATCTGTAAGTATGGTAACCATCGTGAACTAGGATACAAAACGGAGCTTTAAATATACTCTTATTGTTGATGTAGGGAAAGGTAAGCACGTGTCCCGGCGACCCGGACTGATATGTCTTTTGACTGCTAGAGATCTCACTCACTTGATCTCCTGTGTTTGGGAGGAGCACAGTGTGGCGTCTAACGCTTAGGTTCTAAAGTGTGTACTTTAAGTACACTGTTTTTGGTTTATTGTGTTCAGTTTATGTTCTTTTTGGCCCTTTCTTCGATACCATTTTATCTGTGATTTTAAGAATACGCTCATGCCTGACTGTTTTCGGTATTGACCAACTTTATGTCGGGACTTAAATTGTGCACTTGGAATGTGTCCAAGTGCAAGTATTCGCCAATTAAGCGTAGAAATGAATAATAATTAAATTATCTTAAAAAGGAACGTGTACAAATAGCCTTATTGCAAGAGACACATCTAAGTGACAGTGAACATCTAAAACTTACTTAAAACAGGGGGGGGGGTTTAGTAAAGTTTATTTTTCATCGTTCACATCAAGAAGCTTTGGCGTGGCAATTTTGATACAAAGAGGTATGCCTTTTAAACTTCTCGACTCTATAAAAGGATGGATCAGGTTGTTTTATCATCTTGAGGGGTATCATCTTTGGTGAAGAACCTTTTCCAAAGGTTATTAACCTTGGCAGCAAACATACAATTACAGGGGGAGATATCAACTGCCATCTTAATCCTCCTATAGACAAATCCCCACCTGGTAGTATATCACTTTCTTCCCATGCCAAGAATTTTTCCCCATATTTCAGAGACGAGTTTAAGGTCTTTTTTGCCACTAATTCAAGTTTGACCGATGACTCGTCATTGTTATGGGAAACCTCCAAAGCTTTTTCCCGGGGTATTGTTATATCCTATACGTCTACCAAAAGGAGAAGACAGGCTGAGCAACAAAAAATTCTTGAGTCCAAATTAAAGCGTGCTGAGAGAGAATACGGCCAACGGCCATCTTCACAGAAGGTTAAGGAAATGTCTGCACTTCCATGTGCCTTAGATTCATTTCTGACAATGCAAGCATCAAACCAGATCAGATTTGCAAAACAAAAATTATATGAAAGTCGTGACAAAGCGGGGAGACATAGCATATTTAACTAAGAAAAAGGCTGATTCTCAAACAATTGGCTCAATTATCGATAACCAAGGCAAGCAATCCTTTGACAATTTAAATATCAATAACACATTTAAAAACTTCTATGAAAAAATTATATAAGTCTGAACAGTAACCTGATTCGATCAGGAAAATGGATGATTTCTTTCTTAATTTGAACCCTCCTTGTTTATCGGAGGAGCAGAAAACCGCTCTTGATTCTCCTTTATCGAAAAGAGAAGTACTTGATGCACTTGAAGGATTACAATCTGGTAAATCCCCTGGTCCGGATGGACTTTTGCCTATTCTCCACAGTATCAGTACGGTACAGTACAGTACGCTTCAGCACGGTTATTTTGCGTTTCCACTAGTGGATGGTATGGGAGATTTGCGTACTTTTCAGTACTGCCTCAGCCGTGGTTCCATCCCCATAGTACCCGTACCATGACGTCACGTTGGCCCACTGCCTTACACTGATTGGTCAACGAGTGTCTTCACTGGAAGCGGCATCTGACCCTTTGGGAAAAACAACTCAGCCATCTTGAAAACCGGCTGCTCTGCTTGGCTCCATTTCGGCTACATTACGTCCTCCTCACTCCAGAGAAATGGAATCGCACAGAAAGCCCCAAAAGTCCTGGTCGGTGGACAAGGTCCACATGTTCCTCTCTTCAGGCCAAAGAAAGAATTCAAAGGCAGCTCGAGGCTCAACACAGTTTTCAGGAGATCACCAGCTCTGGATTTGTGACTAGTCTGTGGTAATCCTGGAAATAACTGGTTAGATATGAATCCCGTTAAAGCTCTCACTGAAATGTATTTACTGTGTAAATGGTCGATTGTCCGTTGTACACAGTGAGCTAGCTACAATTAGCTTCATTTAGCTATCGATAGCAGCTAAGCTAACGTCCTCCCTGTGCTACTGTGCTTTATCTCTTATTATCTGCAGTATTCACGTGTTGTCATTCTGTTTTGTGCTTGTATTTAAGTTGTTGTGTGTATATTTGTATGAGAATCCCTTCCCATAAGTGTGGAGATTACCAACGAGTAATGAGTGACCGGAGTATTCTCATCTGGACCTGGCCTGGACTTAGTCTGGACCTGGTCTCTGACATACGCACATACGACATTGTAAACTGTTGGTTTTGCACTTTACCTTTGTTTTCAATAAATCTGTGATTGTATCCCAAGACTGTGTTTCATTCATTTATTATTATTCTAGCTGAGGTTTGGGTATCGATTGTTTGTCTGGTCTCGGAGTCTGCTGTAGTCCGGACCCAAGTCCGGACTAGCCTAGCTTAGCTTAGCCTAGCCTAGCCGCTAACTCGCTACCCCTATGGCTGCCGCTGTCTCTCCCTCGGTCCTTTACTGCTCGAGTCGCCATATGACGAGTTTGAACCCTGGATCCTCCTCTGAGGGCAGTGATAGATGTGTTAAGTGTAGTATAGTTGTAGCTTTGGAATCCAGGGTTAGTGAGTGAGCAGAGTCTCGAGCTAGCGCTAGCATTAGCTATAGCCTAGCAGTATCCTCGGACATGCAGCCCTCGTCCTCTGCTACACAGGCTGCTGTTGCTACAGGTCCCATTCAGATTGTACAGAGCAGTCAGCACCATTGACTTCACAGTGTCCGAGTCATTCTTTTAAGACATAAGCATTTTCAAAAACTACTCGTGCTGTGCTGAATTTTCTATTAAACACTTGCTCTGATATTATAATAAATCCATGCACTGCACCAGTACTAGTTACGTGTCACACGTAAATGGCGTGGTCTGACAACGCTGAGGACATACTGGGGGTACTATTTTTGATGGAAAAGCACGCGAACTGGGCCATGGCGCACCGTGTAGAGTCAAAACATACCGTACTAGGACTGTGGAAAAGCGGCATAGTGTGGAATTTTCTAAGGAATTTCACGACATATTAATTGATCCTCTGTTGGATATGTTTAATGACTCCTTGGCTAAAGGTACATTACCCCAATCTCTGAGGGAGGCAAACATTTCCTTGATTCTGAAAAAAGGTAACGCTCCGGAAGACTGTGCCTTATATAGACCTACTTCATTACTAAACGTCGACGTGAAAATGTTGTCTAAATTGTTAGCAATCCGGCTTGAAAAGTTGCTGCCCATCTTAATTAATGAAGACCAGACTGGATTTATAAAAGGTCGAAACTCTTATAACAACATGCGCCGGCTACTTAATACAATTCAACATTTTGAACACCACTCTAGGAGTGGTCTGGTACTATCTTTAGACGCAGAGAAGTGAAGACTGAGACACAAGTCAAATGGTCTAGGGAAATGTAGCCGAAGACAGTTCTATGCCACTGTGTCCTTGTGGGAATCTGGTCCGAAATCCAATTAACCAGCAAACATTTCCTGGCACAAAAAGTAAGCAATCTATACAGTTTCTTATGGTATTTGGCTTTGATAATGACTCTGTGGTAGCTTCTGCCATTTACTACGCTGCCGTGTGCTGGGCCCCGGGCAGCACAGAGCGAGACAGAAACAGACTGAACAAGCTGGTCAGGAGGGCCAGCTCCACTCTGGGCTGCTCCCTGGACTCTGTGGAGGAGGTGAGGGACAGGAGGGTGCTAGTCAAAGCCACCTGCATCATGAACAATACCTCCCACTGCATAGGACTGTAGAGGAGCTGAGGAGCTCCTTCAGTGGAAGACTGAGGCACCCTCAGTGTAAGAAGGAACGCTACCACAGGCCCTTTATCCCCACCGCTGTCAGACTGTACAATAAGTCACTTTAAATCACTGTATAAGACAAAAAAAACTACTATTGACACTATATCTGACTGCCACTTAAATTGCCACTTTTATTGTACATATATCCTGCATGTAACATGTTTGCACATTTCCTCCTTTTGCACAATCTGAGTGTTCTATCCATGCCAAACGTGACATGTAAATTTCTCCTTGTGAGATAAATAAAGCACATCTTATCATCGTATCTTATCTTATAACAGGGTCAGTCAATCCAAGCAATAAAAACAAAAGGTTAGAATTAAAATTAAGAGAAAACATTTTTCATTTCCCGTCCAATCATTTGCCAAAAATGTTGTGTTTTGTTGTGTCCCTCAAGTGCGTAGTGATGACCGGTGAATACCCTTTTCAGGAAAATGTGTCTCTCAGTGTCTGAAATATCCTTCAGTGTCAAATCTGCAGTATCCCTTTGGATGAAGTCTCTCACTTGCAAATACTGGTAAAAATCACTCCTTGAGGTGTCATACTTTCCAAGTAGCTGATTAAAGTGATAGTCTGTAACTCTAAATGAATTACAAATTTTAAGAATTGTAGTAAATTGACCTCCTGGCCTTAAATGTTGATATAAAATAAGTCATTTTATTCATTCTAATATTACGGGCAAGTCCCGCCTTCCCTTCTCTTGGCTATAGTTCAGAATCCACGATGCCGTCCACGTTAACCAACCAAGTCATGCCAAGGGCTGTCAATCATCAGCGCTGATGCTCGTAGCTGCGCGCATGCTCAGCTGTTTGTTTTTGCGGAGCCTCCGAATCAAGCCTCCATTAGGCTCTGGAACTACAAGAAAACTGAACAAAGAATTCTGAACATCCTATTTATATACTGAACCTATATCCATAATCAGATCCTCTGCACATATGTCCTATAATTTTCAGTTAATGATAATAGCTTGTTCCGGGTTTGCCGCGATCGTTTTTTTTGTGCATTAAAACATTATTTTTTTCATGAAAACGTTAACAAATAATTCTGAAAACCTCTGTGCATGCGTATTAATAATGTATATGTATAATGTGTTCTCTGATTAACATTTAAATGTGCTACGGAAACGTAGGTGTAGACCAATCAGAAACACATTGTAAAAAAAAAAAAGACAAAAAAGAAAATACGAGATGAGAGGCATTCATGTACCATTTCCCTCTCCCATGTTAGGTCCACACACAGGGCCCTCCCCCCCTCGTCCATCTTCATCCCACCCATACCTCCAGGCAGATCTCGTAGCTGATGTAGGTGTGCCACAGGTCCTGCTTGTAGACGCGTGGCTCTCTGACACTGATGCTGATGAACTCCTGCAGGAGAAGCACACACTGGGGTGACATCACACTCCTCATGACTCCACACCAAACAATCCATTGACTTTATCCATCCCAGAGGGCAGCTCAGTCTGCAGGACACTGGTCCTGACAGTGACAGTAGTGCACCATGAAGAGACAACCCACCGTTTTGGACAGATTCTCCAGCATTCGCTCCATGCTGCCGACACAGCCTACCACCTGCAACACACATGCACATTTAATACTGACCATCGATCGAGGAAACACTCTTATTCCTGTCAGGCGTAGAGCCATAAGTAGAAACGCATTAGAAACACAATTGTGTGTGTACTTAAATAAAGCTTTTCCAATGGAAAAGAAAGCCACCCAAACATGTTCAGTTTAGTCACCTTTACTTACAGTGCCTCGTAAGTACTAAAACACCTCATGTTTTCATGTTTACAACCACAAACACCACTTTGAAGTGTTTACTGAAAGTTGAAATGATACTTGATCAAGAACTTAAGTATGATGAACCTGAATCGTTATTTAAAACCTGAAAGTGAGGCGTGCACTAGTATTCATAAATTTATTTTCTGCATTAAATTGCTTTTAAAACATTCTTAATGACAGCTGAATGTTCACACCTCGCCCGAACACCGCAATAGATCCCACAGGTGTGTAATCTTACCTCCGAGCTATGATCAGAGTGTGTTGGTCACTAAACAGCATAATGAAGGCAAAGAAGCACTCCCCCGAGAGGTCAGGGATGAAGTTGTGGAGGCAGCGTTAGTAAGTTACACAAACATTTACCAAACATCTCAGAGCACTATTCAAACCTTTATTCGGAAATGGAAAGAGCATGGCACAACTGACAATTGACCAAGACACGGCTGTCTGCCCAAACACGGAGCTCCAACATGGACAACAAAAATCACAGATGCAGACACGAGGCCTATGGTTGCTCTGGAGGAGCTGCAGACATCCACAGCTCACTTGGGGCAGTCTGTACGTGGGGTTAGGTGCGTTGCCCAAGGACACAATAACAGCAGGGGGGGGGGTCAAACCCACAACTAAATGGTTGTCAAAGAACAATGCTCTACTGAGTCACGTAATGTTACACAAAGCACTTAACTATTTTCTGTTCACCCCACACAGACAGAAGCGAAATGCTGATTATTAGGTGTTGTGAACCAGATGAACCCAGAGGAAACCTAAGCAGACACTGGGAGAAGCAAACTCCACACAGAAAAGCCCTGTCTGGAGGCTCAGGTAAGACCACAATTTGCCTCCTGCAGTGCAACAGTTTGTATGGGAGTTTTTGTTGTTGATTGAGGCCTGTGGAATTTTGGTCAAATTGTTGGATAATTGCAGGAACTGGAACACGTCATGATCCAGAGCATCTTAAAAATGGTCAGCATGTCCCAGTAACATCACTAACTGAGAAGTGGACCAACGGAATGTATTAAAAAAGTGTGTAAATTTTTATTGCCGTAAATGTGTCTACAGTTACGTCTCACATACAGTTTTCCAAAAAGTGAATTTTGTCTTGATACTCCTGTTCCAATTGGACATTTTGCCAAATCCCAGCATTATCCCGGCTCCCGGATCATGGAGTGGACTTCAACATCTGAATACTTCACTCAGTTCCAGACAGAGCACTTTTACTGCATTAGTTTGTGATGTAACGTGTCATTGTTCACAAAAGCTCTTTGTTTATCAGCAGAGCTGTGACAGAGCCGTGAAATAAAGAGGCATTTCAATGGGAAACTATTATCCTAGAGCCAGGACAGAAACACTGATGACATGAGCCCAGGACCAGGGCAGAAACACTGATGACATGAGCCCAGGACCAGGGCAGAAACACTGATGACATGAGCCCAGGACCAGGGCAGAAACACTGATGACATGAGCCCAGGACCAGGGCAGAAACACTGATGACATGAGCCCAGGACCAGGGCAGAAACACTGATGACATGAGCCCAGGACCAGGGCAGAAACACTGATGACATGAGCCCAGGACCAGGACAGAATCACTGATGACATGAGCCCAGGACCAGGGCAGAATCACTGATGACATGAGCCCAGGACCAGGACAGAAACACTGATGACAGCTTTAGTAAAAGCCAGTGTGATTCACATAAACTCAACAAACAATAAAAACTGTATCTTATGATACATGTTTGCAATGTGGCATTATGCAAGTAAGTGTGTACGTTTTACAGTATTCTGATTCTGTATTCATCACTGCATGTCATGTCCTCCTCTCACCTGCTCTGGACTCTGGGGACCTCCCGTGTCCCGTGGGGAGCTCTCCCGAAGGCTCAGTCCTGGGTGTGTGACTCGTACGGGCTCCGTGGGGCTCTGACACCCGCTCAGGCCGGTTCTTCTCTCCCGGTTGCAGCAGGACTTGTGTATCCCCCTGCCTCCTCTTTCCGTGCTGGGGAGGTGCTGGGTCTCAGGTTCAGTGTCAGGTGCACCGGGGCCTCCTGCTGACTCCCGTTGGTCTCTTTGCCTGGTCTCTGTGTTCAGTCCTGGTCTCTGTCTTCAGTCCTGGTCGGACTCTTGTGACGCATGGTCCCGCCCCTGGTTCCCGGGGGAGGTGTGCTTTTGTTACAGTCGTTGCAAAGATTACAAATGGGTCATGTTGTGATATATGTTCTTATAAATGTTCATGCATGTTGATATCGTGGGGCGGGACAGTAGACAGAGCCGCGGGGTCACGTGGAGCGCGTGTACATGCGCGCACCTGACTCTCATCAGCGTCATTAGTGAACACCTGTGCACGCGCACGCACAGTCTGAGCGTCATTCTTCCTGTCAGACCTGGTCAGACCTGGTCAGACACTGCTGTTAAACTTTAGGTTAATAACATGTATTAAAACGTATAGTTAGATATACTCACTGCTTTAAACCCTGTAATCACGGTGGCTGAGTGGATAGCACTCTCACTTCTCAGCAAAATTGTAATTTGTTCGAATCCCGGTCGGAACATGGCCTTTCTGAGTGGATTTTGCATGTTCTTCCAGTGTCTGCGCAGGTTTCCTCCGGGTACTCTGGTTCCCCCTACCATTAAAAACACGTGCAATAGTTCAGGGTGAATGAGTGTGTGTTTGTGAGTGCGAATGTGGGACAACGGATGGAAATTAGCCCATGGCTACCATCCGGAGTGATGTCTTCATTAACATGTACTGTCTCAACCAAATAAACAACAAATATCACATAGAAGAAAAAACCAGGACGTGTGCTTTAAAACATAATATCAATAATAATCGTTATTTGTATAGCACGTGTGGTAAACAGTGACCTATGTACTGCACAGGTGGACAAAACACATGTGATAATAACACTTTTAAAAAACAATGTTTACAAAGTGCTGCACAGTCAGCATAATCAACAATGAACAGTCATAAATGATATAAAGTCAAAATAATTAGAATAGATGCAGGAAGACAAAGCAGACAGAGCAAACACAAGAAGAAAGACAAAACAAAGACAATGCAGACAGCAAAATACAAAATGGGACATTTAAAACTAACAATTAAAAGCTGTTCGATAAAAGTGGGTTTTAAGAAGTGATTTAAAAGACGATACTGATGGTGCTGGCCTTATCTCCTCGGGATAAGGAGCCCGGACAGAGAAGGCTCGGTCACCTTTCGTCCGGAGCCTCGACCCTGGAACATTCAACAGGGACCTGTCCGAGGATCTAAGGCTGCGGGGGGGCTTGTAGGGAGTTAATTGTTCATAAATATAGCTGGATGCCAGACCTAAACGAGCTTTAAAGGTAATCAGTAAAATCTCAAAATCAATTCGCACAGGGAGCTTGTGGAGAGACGCTAAGACAGGGGTGATGTGCTCCCTTCTGTTAAACCAGAGAGAAGTCTGGCTGCTGCACTCTGAAATTGTTGGAGGCCTGAGAGGGATTTAGAGTCGAGACCGGAGAGGAGGGAGTTGCAGTAATCGAGGCGGGAGAAGATGAGGGCGTTGACTACTTTAAGGAGATCGGGAGGAGTGAGAATGTATTTAATCTTGGAGATGGTGCGGAGGAGAATGAAGCAGGACTGGGTGGTTTTTTAGATGTGGGAGCGGAAAGTGAGATGAGAATCAAACATGACACCGAGGTTACGGGCAGAGGGAGTGATGTTTGAGGATAGGGGGCCGAGGTGGGTTTGGAGGTGGGATACTGAAGGCCTAGTCCTTTGATTTCTGTACTGGGCCTTTGTGGAGTGTTTGTGTTGTGGTAGCACCATCTGTAACCTGTGAGCCCAGGTCCCTGTACCCGTGGTTGGAAACACTGTCCACATGTGTCTGATGCTTCTGCCTGGACTGGACATACTGGACTACTGACCTAATCTAGTTTGCACTCATAATGCTGTTGTTTTCCTGTGAACAGTAGCAGCTCAGACTAAATCCTTGTGTGTGCCTCTGCAGCACTTTCACTCAGGCCAAAGTCCTGAACCTGCAGCCTGCAGCCTGAGACCAAAGACCCTTACACCAGGACAGAAGCTTTAAGGGCCATTGTGCTCTACATGGTCCAATGACAGTTGTTCTGAATACTTAGTTAGCCATGTTTATTTCAAGTAAATAAGTGTACAATAAACAAAAGTAGAATATCAAAAAAACATAAATAACCTTGAGTTACATTTACATAATTTGAAATGATAAATATTATAAACACAAAAGAAACACTCGCAGATACTCAAAAAGGAGTGGGAAGAAGAAAACTTTTTTAATCCCACCCCTGTTGCCTTCAAACACATTACTCATTGAGCTTCCTATTTGCTCCAGTACAAAATCAAAGCGAATGTCACATTTAAAGAAACTGTTCAAGTTTTAAAGTAAATATTAATGGGTTTAAGGACATATACAGGCAAGCTACATTTTACAAGGATGCAAAACCACTGCATGAGATACCAGCAATGGTAAAAGACAGTAAACACCAATATGGTACATAAGGGACAGCAAATAGCAGCAATGGCTGGTATTGTTATGGATTTTTCATTGCGTTAATACATAAGGTCGCGAGGAGTGAGTTGGATTCAGATTTGGAGAAAGTGTAGACGTTTCAGTTTGAGGTCACTTCTGGTAATGTGTCATTCATTGTATTTTAATCTAAAATTATTAGGTGGTTTCTCTTTATACTATGCCACTGCGAGATCAGCAGAGGAGAACAAATATGCGTAGAGAAGTGTTCTGATTGAAGACGGCTGAGGCTGAAGCAGAAACAGGTACTATGTCTACAATAGTACATTGTACAGACTCCCATTATTATTACTTTGAGCCAAACCAAAAGCTCCATCAACCTCACGCAATAGTCATAAGCTACATTTAGTTTGGGCATACAGTACAGACCAAAAGTTTAGACACACTTTCTCATTCAATGTTTCCTTTCTTTTCATGACTATTGACTGTAGATTCACACCCAGGCTGTGTAAGGGCTATTTGACCAATAAGGAGAGTGATGGTGCTGGGACAGATGACCCGGCCTCCACAGTCACCAGACCTGAACCCCATCGAGACAGTTTTGGGGTGAGCTGGACCACAGAGTGAAGGCAAAAGGGCCAACAAGTTAAGCTAGCTACGTTCTGTAGCTAGCTTAGGTCCTAGATCATTAGCCTGTCCGTCCGGAGGAGCAGATCCCTTTCTCATATGGGTCTCCCTCCCTGTGGGTTTCCCTAGTGCTCCCCAAGGTTTCTCACTTTTTCCCACTGGGTTTTTCCTTGTCGATGCAGGAGGGTCTTGTTGGACAGTTAGTGTCCAACAGAAAGGATTGGTGATGATCAGGACACTTTAGCATTCTACAACATGTATGGACATTTTCTTCTGTGTGTGCTTTATATTCTTCATGTGTTTTAACTGTTGATTCTCTGACCTGTGTTGGTGATTTCAATGGTTTTGTTAAGTCCTCTGAGATGACTTCTGTTGTGACCTAGGGCTATGCAAGAATAAATTGTATTGTGTATTGTAACAAGTGCTAAGCATCTTTGGGAACTCCTTCAAGTCTGTTGGAAGACCATTTCAGGACCTCTTGAAGCTCAATAGAATGCCAAGTGTGTGAAGCAGTAATCAGAGCAAAAGGTGCTACTTTGAGGAACCCAGAATATAAGACTAATTTTCTTATTCATATTTTTTTTTCAGTACCTACATAATTCCACATGCGAGTTAATTCATAGTTTTGATGCCTTCAGTGTGAATCTAAAATCTTCCTAATCTTTCAAAATTCTTTTCAGGTGTGTCCAAACTTTTGGTCTGTACTAATTTATATATAATCTAAAAAATGGTGAAAGTAACCTTAAAGTAATGCAGTAGTAGTGTAACAGTACTTTGAAGTCATACATAATGTACTACTTTTTAAAGTCACTTAAAACACATTTCATTACACATTCTAATTAAATAGAACCCATAAATAATCCAGCCATTGACTTTTTTTTCAAACTTTATTTAAACAAAGTGGATCACATAAAAGCCTTCAACAAATATAAACAGTTTACAAAAGTCCCCATTAAACAGGAACGACTGAAAACAATGCGAAAACTGAACGGACAGTGGCAATGAGGCGGTTTAGGCTATTTACAGAGACACACCCCCTTCCCCTCCCCCACGGGAGGACACACTGCTAGGGCTGCACGCTGTGGGAAACCAGGCGCTTGGATTTAGGAATATTTAAAATAATCCAAATGAGACTCAGTAACGAGAAGGACGTGTGGATTTGAGCAGATAACGGAGAGTTATGAGAGACTCACCAAGAATAAAAGAAAGTTTGATGATTAGAAATAAATTCTCGTGGCAGTTTGCGTCTTTAAACCATTCAAATGTATAAGAAAATGTTCGTTTTTTAAACTTTATTTTGTAGTACATTAATGACAATTAAATCTCTGCTGCTGCAAAAAAAAAGATAAAATAGGTAATATTTCCTTGATTCACGTGGTTTTTATTTTAACTTGAGTGCATTCTGACTGTCTCAAAACAAGATTTGTCAATGCCATTGGTCTTAATTCAAGAAATATTACTCTTTTTTTCCTCATTCCAAGGGAGACTTTGAAAACAAGAGATTTATTTTTTCTAAAACAAGATCATTCTGCTTGTTCCATTGGCAAAATTAACTCGGATCAAAATAACAACCAAACGTGAGAAGTTGACATCTTCATCCCTTTTTGCAATGTTACGTACGAATAAAAGTGTGTTTTCAACTACGGCGCAATCATGTGTTTTGTCAGGGACGTGACCTTTGTGAAGTGCGACGAGTCAAACTGTGGTTAGGATGGTAATAACCCATGCAGCCCTAGAAGCCGGCCCTCTCCAACACAAAGGCTCCCTGCTCCAGTGGGACAAAACTAAGACTGCTAAAAAACACAACAGAAAGAAAGAACGCTGAAGGGGAAGTCCTACTGCGCCTCGTCCTCGGGGCACGAGTGCCACGTGAGGCGCTCCTCGTAGAAGGAGATTACCACTTGAGGGCAGCGCTTGTTGGCCTCTTTGGCTGGGACCAGGTCAGCTTCGTCCGACTCTTTCCTGTGGAGGAGCAGCACAGACATCAGAGCTCTCGTTAATTTTAGTCATATTGATCGCTGTGGGAATAGTGTTTTTATAATCAAAACCAAACAAAGTGACTGTCAATCAGCACTGGAGCTGGGCCAGCAGAAACTGATCGTAGGGTCCCGTCTAATACACACATAGTTTCTAGTAAAGTCTGCGGGTCTTCACTAGTACAGTAATGTGATCGTACCATTTCATTAGGAACATCAGTTCCCCGCTGCTGTCTGTGGCCCC